GACTCAGGTGAGCTTCTAAGCTTTCTTTCAGTCATAAGCCACCTCACGACCTCGAGTTCAGCGTGTCGTCGCAGCCGTCATACCGTGCATATTGGCCGGGGTATGGGGATTCACTGTTGTGATCTCTGTTGTTTCATGGGAAAATGTACGAAGCTGGCTTGCCAACTGGCGGCCTCAAAAGAAGCATCACGCGGGCAAAAGAAATGAGGCAGAGAAGCGAATTATGGAGATCGTCATCGACAAAGGTCGAGATGAAATTTCTCTAGACTCAATAACCCCGCCGAACGAAGATGACGAATGGACATCTGTGGTTGATGCGGATACTCTTGTCGAGGAAGAACAGGACGCTAGCAACTACGACACCAAATTGATCGATGAATACGTCGCGCGGTTGAGCGTCAAATTCTTCAAAGATAGATTCGAGAGTGGAACGTTTCCAGCCTTTACGCGAGGAAGAATACAGCATTTTAGGTGTTCACCGAACGGCAAGTGGTTGGTTGCTTGTCACGAGTTTGCTTGTCTTGTATACGATGTTGAGGTACAAGCTCATGCTCGTTCGCAAACTAACAGAAACTGATGGTTCTTGACTAGCATGATTTTGCTTATCAAATTCTAACCTCTAACGGAGGCGCTCGACCATCGGCAGAGCATGCGGAATGGTCTCCGACCGGCGACTATCTGTTGCTGCGATCCAATAAAGAACTATGGCTATGGAAGACTCCATCTCGAGGCGGGAAAGACATTGTGAGTTTGTACTTTCTTGCAGGTGCATGTTTTACTGAAATCTCTTGTGTAGTTCAAGTGTGTGGAGACGAATTTCAAACTTCGGAAGGGAACGTTCAAATACATTAAATGGGTTAATAACAACGGTACGCGACTCGCCACATATGCGCAGTTTCCGAAACTGCTCTCTGACTTCTTTCCATGTAGACTTCCTTTTATTGATGGACGGGACTGAATTATTCATCATTGTAAGCCTGAGGAAAGAAAGTTATCGAATGCGGAACCTGATTTTATGTAGAACCGCAAGACAGGTCCGAAGCAAGCCAACAAGTTTATGCTTTCGGATGGATTCACCGTCCGACAGGTGTTCCCTCTAGACCCCCGACTAGAAACAATTTTGTGCCTCGTGAGGCAATCTGCTGTCGTGGATGGCTGCAGCAGCAATGGTGTCGATCATATTTTCAGTAAGGAAACATTGGTCGTGAAAAACATCAGAATCCTGACTTCATCTCGTCCAGCTTTTTGCAAAGGAACTTCCACAAATGTCTTCTCGAAATTGAATCGTTCTGGCTCACCGTACAAACGTGAGCAGTAAGTCATTAGTTTGACCGTTCTTCGTTATTTCTACTCACGAGTTACGTCCAATAGGACGAAGCTTCTTCATACAAACGTAAAGAACTTGAAGATGGACAAGAGTAAACGACACATCATAGTGAATTATGAACTGGAAAATGTTGTTCGTTTGCATTCAATTTCCACTGATCGATATATTGTTAATTAAATTCGCCAGGAGGACAAAGTCAAGCACTTCGCCGTCGATAACTCGGGACTGCCTGAGCTCTGGCATATTAGAGATGATGACGGGAAAGTATATATCCATGCGTCTGCCAGGGATGAAAGTATGGGGGTCATCACGAAGACACCCGAATCAAAAGACGTCAAGCTAATAAATTTGGGTGAAGCCTCGTTTGCAGGACCAGCTCAACGCATCGTTATGTTTCATTGTGATGGTACGAGGCAAAGCGCAATCTCTGTTAATACATTTCAAACTGATGCTACTTAGACCGCGTTCATTTCTATCGCTATGACGAGAGCAAGGACTTTGTTCGCCTGAAGTGGTTCAAATGGTTTAATTTCGAACTCAAGAATCGAGGATTCGTCAAACCTATTCTCACCTGGGGCGAAACTTATACTCAACCCGTCTGCTTTGCCACCAACGTGGACGGTGATGGGCGCATATTCTACTCGTCCTATCAAGAAAACTTGAGTATCGAGGCTAATACGGATCGGCCAGCTTCGGTAGTGAACGAGACTGACGCTGCCGAAGGCCCCCGGGAAGCAAAGGTACTGTGACTATGTCCCGTTATTTAATCCTCAAGCTAATCACCTGTTATTAAATTGGCGAAGCTTGACATGAAGGACGAGAACGAACACCCATCCGTGCATGACACGAATCGGTCAACGCAAGAAATGAAGACAAAGCCACTTCAGCAAGCTTCAACATCGAGTAAGGCCGACGTCATTGAAATTGGGGAAAATTCAAAGGTATTACACCTCTTTATAAAACTGTTTTGTCATGTCGTTCTTATCATCTGTCGAAGAAACGCCGGAACGAAGAGGACGATGCAGCCATCATATGAACCATATCCAGTCACTCAAAGCTTTTAGAATACCATCGCAACTTCATCTATCCGATTCATGTATATTTACCTCGTCTTTGCCCTCCACTGTATATTAGACTCATACTTAGATTTCACGTCGCACTCGTAGACAATTTGTCGTGTAGAATTTCTGCAATTCGCTTATGTACATAGTTTATATCATAAATACTGTAGAACCTATGTTCTTCTTTTGAATTCCGTCCTTGCTGCACCTTTTTTCTAAGCAAGGAGGTGCAGTGCACCGCTGGATGATGAGGGAATCTATCTAACTTGCTATGTCTTTGACCAAGATCATGAAGATGGAGGAAAGAAACTTCAAGTTGACTGACACGATCGATCGCCCAATTCAGTCGCGTGACCGTGCCACAATATCATGGCTGATTGGACACAAGAAATCGTCAACAATTAGCAAGAAAAATACTACACTACCAAAACATGCAATAGATAACACAAAACAGCATCTAGCAATACGACTAGCGCGAGATCGACAGAGAGCATTCCTTTCCGACCGCGAAGGTAGCAATATAGATAACGAACAAATATTCCTTCTTTTGCAATATAGCGTCCGAGCGCGAACATATTAGATTGATAAATTCACGGAAACGAGAGAATCCGAACGGGTCGCTGTCGCTACAGAGCGACGAAGAGAAAGGCGGTCCCCACAAGCGCGGCGACCGCATTCGACGCGTAGAGCCCAGCGTTTCTGATGGAGAAGGCGCCGCTAGTAGTAGTGCTCGGGGAAGAGCCAGAAGACGAGAAGCTGATCGAAGGGGAGGCGGTAGGGTTTATCGAGCCAGAAGAAGCGCCGGACGCTGTAGACTGGGAACCACCAGTTGCAGTGGGGGAAACGGAGCTGACGATGATGGAGGAAATGGGCTGACCCGACGTGTCACACGCATTGACATATTCTGAAAGGATTGCGATATTTCGGTCAGCATTCAGAAACGCTTTGGAAGTGGGACAAGGGAGGGGGGGGGCGAAAATGAATCAAGAACTATATCGGTAGTTGGAGCAGTGGGGATGGGGAGGCGAAGAACGAAGGCGGGCGAGAGAAGAATAAAATGGAGATACGCACGGTTAATGAGATTTTGCGACTGGGATGTCGTTGAGCTCGTCGTATCTCCACTAACGAACACGATACAATCAATGCAGACTGCTATCTGGGCCGAGACGGTGTTGTTGCATAGGCAGGAGAGGTCTTCGCAACTCTGGGTGGGTGGTCATGGTCAGGATGGGAGAAAAAAAAATGCGAATTCGCTTGACACATACATTGACAACGGCGTCGATCGGTGCACAAGTAGCAGAGCACTATGATAGAGCATCATTAGCCAGGTTTGTTTTGTACAGAAAAAAGGGGGAAGCCTCGTACTGCTGCGGGGATCTGGGACGGGCTAACGGGGACGGTCTGGCGTTTAACGAGCTCAAACGCGACTCGCTCATCCGGACTGGCTACACCTAGAGATTCAAGAGAAGCATATCAAGCTAAGATTAGCTGCCAGTGCGATGAGAGGGAGGGCGGTAGAACTCACAGTGCGAGACGACGGAAGCAAAAATGCTGAGAGCCAACAGTTTCGAGAGCATGGCGACGATCGAGTTGATTACTTTCGGATTATATTAGTCCAACGGCAAGTAGATTATCGAAAGAGTGGAATTCCGGGAGCTAGCAAGCGTATGTGAGTACGAGAGAGGAGGTGGGAGGAGGAGGGAGCGACGGAAACAAAGACCGCACTTTGGCTTTTTATACCGTGCCCAAATTCAGCACGTGTCAAATTGTTTCCTGGGCAGCAACGGCGGCCTGCGCCTAGCAAAAACCACCAGCATGAGCGTATCTCGAAAGTTATTCTTCTATTAGGACCTTTGACATTTGACAGGCACGACGCAGTTGTTCTCTGTTCAACTTTCACTGGAGGCTATCCAGGCTTCGAATTCCTGATCGCTGCCACAGTCCTCCAATGGCCACAAATTGGGACGGGCGATCCACGACGGTATCCAAGGATCCCCGATTATTTGCGTACGTTCCTCGTAACTTATCATGATGTGAAACATGATCTCGCAGCTACAGACCGCCGGTGCGAAATTAGTTATGTTTTGAAGCGTATTTCTTGAGGGCGATTCATTTGTCGTCCGGAGTGAAGACCAATCTACCCATTTGCGGCACCAGGCACTCGAAGCGCTCAGGCTTTCCCTGCAGTCCACTCTACTCCAAAAATCTTGTTGCAGATCTGGAACGAAATCCCCAGACGTGTAATCATGATTGCACTTCGGGGCCCTCTTCTGTGAGGATTGATGCGGAGGTGATGCGCACCGTCATGATCGACCACATTCGTGACCTAGGGAATCCTTGACTGACCTGAATAGTTATGAGAACACCTGCATTTGAAGCTGCGAACAGTCAAGGAAATCACATCTACACGGGCGCGAACTGGTTGCATGCACGGATGCAGTCGATAATTTTGTAATCCTCCAATGACCACGGATCAGAGAAGACAAGATGAAAGTTCAAAGGAACCAAAAAGACAAGCACGGATTTGAAGATAAATCATAACTCACCCAACCAAGATTTCTAGACGTTCAATCTTTCTTTCTGGAGTCGAAAAAATTGAAAACCAAAAAGGTTGGACACATCCGTACTCGAAACGGAGACCTCTCGCAGGACTCGCTTTGACGATGCTAAGCGAGCGTGATAACCATCTACACCATGTGCCCATGAATATTTGTCCTACCTGTAAGATTATAAACTATTGATTAAAATTCCTATAACCTTTCACTGCTTTGTTCCCTTACTAGCGCCCAGCATTCTTATCCGACAAAGCAAAGGTAAACGAATATCCGACAGCTTCAAACCTCGGGTATGATGGATCTATCCAAGGAAAACTGATATCAGCGTTTGGCATACTAAACGAGATAGCTATTGATTTCAGCATACGCCAGGTTGCCGATGTACGTACAATAGTACGGTACTATGACGGAATGTTCTCATGGATGCCCCTTACGCATGAGTCGCGTCAAGCAAATATAAGACCCAGGTAAGTTCGTTTCCTGAGATCCTCGCCTCTTGTACTCGTCATTTGCCCTTCCAAGCAATTCACGATGGACTTCGTTGCAAAAACCGAGGAGACAGACCTCGATGCGATCGCCATGCCCAGTAAGTTTTCAAGATGCTCCTTTCATAGCTCTTGTGTGAGAACACGCAGCCCGCAGCGGTGAACGCATTCCTACCTCTCTTGGAGAAGAACAGGGAGAAGATCGAAAGTGTTCGACGCGAAACGATGCAATACGGGGACACTGAAAGGCATAAAGTTAGTTGGCCATTCTCATGCTAGGAGAGTTTGACTTCATCTATCATGCCGACGGCGCGTTCTCCAGCTCGACGTGTACTACCCGCCGTCCAACGAAGGCCCGAAGCCCCCTATCCTGATCTTCATTTACGGCGGGTCATTCACAAGAGGAGACCGCGTCTTTCCCCCGCCACTGGACCTCGTCTACAAATGCGTCGGCGCCTTCTTCGCCTCGCGCGGCCTCCTGACGATCATCGCGGACTACCGCCTCGTGCCGCACATCAAGTACCCACAGAACGTCGAGGACGTGCGAGATGCACTCCATTTCGTCGCGCAGCACCTGGGTGACGCAGGCGACACTAACAATATCTTCATGTACGGACACTCGGCGGGCGGGTCGCTCGTGACAAGCTTGTTCTTGCACGATCCTGCGCTTGTCAGCGCTGAAGTCCTGAAGCGTGTCAAGGGTGTGATGAGTTTAGGTGCTCCTCACTACTTTGCGGGACCAAAGGAGGACCAGCGCCCAATCGTCGTGCCGCTGTACGGGGATGCATATGAACAGCTCTGTCCATATGGCCTTCTGAAGAATGCGTCCTCTGAAACGCTGGCAGCCTTGCCACCACTCTTCATCATGCGCTCCGAGAAGGAGCCTCCGCGCTTGATGAACGCTCATGATAAATTCCTTGAGATGTTGCGTGAAAGAGATGTGAAGGCCGTAAAGGCGGGCATCGCGGCGGTCCATAATCACGTCAGCCCGGAATTGGCTCTGAGTACGGGGGAAGGGGAGGACTGGGCGAATGATCTTGTCGCATGGATCAAGACTCTCCTGTGATAATAAATAAGACCTAGAAGTGAACAAGACATCACCTCAATTTATGAACCACTGGTAAATGATAAAGGAGATGTACCGCGTAAAAATAATTTCGTCTACGAATAGACTTGAAGACGTACTGATTTACCCGAGGATCGGAATTCGCATTCATAATGATGTAGACCGTAAAGAGGCGAAATAACTGTCGGTGCGCTCTATAGACCGACTGATCTTCAATTTATTAGTTTTGAACAGGGTAATGTTAGTCTCGCAGCAACTCATCAACACTGGGATCATGTTTGAAAAGATGCTGGAAAACGTTCGGCTGTCAATGATATTGTCGCTCGGCCCACGGCAGTCGGCATGTCTTTAAGATAAGAAATTCAATGACAGGACATTTAAGGACTATCTCACCTTTTATAAGGCCGATTCGGGATGAGCAACATATGATGAATCAATTCAATCGTTGCGTACATGTTTGAGAACAGACGCGCCTACGCTGCTTCAAAATTAGTCAAACCCGATAGATTATGCTATGCGTTTTACGCACTCACCAAACCTCCGGACTTCGGATTGAGTTGAGAGTACGCGTTGAATCGGGGTTTTGCACTCACCTGTAGACATCAATCATGTAACGACCGACGCGGAGAGGTGAATGTCCCTCTTGAACGTTAGAAAGTAGAGCGCAGCTTTAGGTACGGCCGAATAACGAAGAGGGTGAAGCAGGCTTCTCGCTCACTTTGGTCCTCGGACTGGATGGTGGTATTTAACGCGAACGCGAAATAGAGCCTCCTAGACAACGACCATGGCGACCTGGCTCATCACTGGGTATGAGTTGATATTCATTCGTAAATGGCCTGGACTGAAAGATCCTGTAGGGCTTCGCGAGGCCTTGGTTTTGGTCTCGTCAAGCAAATTCTTGAGGCGTCCAAGGACAACACCGTATTCGCTGCCTGCCGCGATCCAAGCAGCGCAAAACAGCTCTCCGATCTGATGAAGTCGAGTCATTCAGACAGTCTTCACATAGTAAAACTGGACGTCGCGGATGAAGTTTCCATCGTCGAAGCATCCACCGAAGTCGGGAAGATCCTGGCACGTAACGTATTGACGCTGGACTATTTGATCAATAACGCAGGACTCGTAAGTCTATCTGTTGCAAGGAATTGGAATCAACACTGACGTTTCCTGGTGAAATTTATAGACATCTGGAAATGACAGTCCCCTGACATTGAGACAAGCCAACTTTGTCAAAACGCTGACCACCAACGCTGTCGCGCCAATGATCGTCTCACAGCACTTCATGAAATTTCTGGAGAAATCTAAAAGGCCTGTTGTTATGAACATGTCTAGCGGATTGGGAAGCATTGAAAACGCAAGTGGTACCTACCAGACGAGTTATTGCACGAGCAAAGCCGCTCTCAACATGCTAGTAAGCCTTTTGCAGAGCCTCGCAATTCGGCTGAGTTACGAGCTTGCTTGATAGACAAAGAAGCTGGCGGACGAAAGGAAGAACGTGATTTCATTCGTAATGGATCCTGGCTGGGTGAAAACAGGTAAGCATTGGGAATGGACACAGTGCTCACCAATCCGTCTGACCCGAACTTCCAAAGATTTGGGAGGGTCCGCAGCACCATTTGACGTAGACTTCAGCGTGTCGAACGTTTATAAAGTCCTTGTTGGTGTTTCTGCGAAGGACTCAGGATCGTTTTTGCGGTTCGATGGCCAAGTGGTCCCGTGGTAGCCACCGAAACATGTCGAGTCGTACTGTATTGTACCCAAGAAAACATAGTTTCGAAGTACGCTCTGCTCAGTGATGCTGTGGTTCACAAACAGCGCGAGATGGGAAAGAATGAACCAACGATCCTCGTAAAGCATGGCGCACCTGGGGATAGTACTCAGTCCTCTCCCTATTCTAGATCCTTCATCATTCTCGGGGTTCAATTGTCGCCATCAATAAGAATAAAATATCGTCTTTGAGAACGTATAGCGACAGTTAGTGTGGTCAAGAGCAAAGGGGGACGCGTTGAACGGTTCGCGTTCAACAATGAAGTCACGCCGCTGACAGCGTCCGTCCGATCGTGTCTGGTCGCGGCTGACACTCTTTCTTTCCTCCAACGACGACGACGACGACGACGTTGACCTCAAAAGCAGCGACAGCGAGGAATCCCTTACAATCCTTTTTATTATGCTTCTTCTTGTCTGATTGACCGGGAGTCGCACGAAAACCTGCCGTCATCCTCCAACGTTGCCGCAAAACATGCTACATCGACCAGCGGACAGCCGTCTGCTCGCAAACCTTCTCTCGCAAGAAAAGGAGCACGCGAAGGCCCTCGCAGCTCAAATTGACAGCGCACAGGCGTCTCTGAGCTCGTTTTCCGCGTATGCTTCCGCCTCGCCTCCGCCAGCCTCGCACGCGATCGTCGCGGTCGCTGGAACACTTGTTGGGGCGAACGACGCGCTCCGAACCTACCTGTTTGCTGTCGAGGAGTGGTGTGAGCAGCTGAGAGAGCTTAAGGAGCTCGAGGATGAGGTCGGAAATGTGGTTAGGGATAGGGAGATTCTGTGAGTGTCGAGAAGTTTAGGCGGAGGAGGAAAGTGTGTCTAACATCCATCCAGCGTCGACAGACTCATCAAGGCTTCGAAGACGACGCAGAAACGGAGGTCGGTCATCTCGAACTCAGGCTCACCGACGACGAGCATGTTTGCCTCCTCATCTGCCGTTGGACTCGAACAGCTAGCGTTCTCCAACTCGAAACTTAACCTAGCTCAGAACGAGCTTCAAGCCTGCGAAGCTCACTTGTCCGATCGCGAGAAGGCTCTGGCGCAAATGCGAGAGAATGTCGTGATTAAGGGCTTGAAGGGTCGTTGTAAGGCTATGGTGGAATGTGGGTGGAAATGGGGAGAAATGGGCAAGGAGGGAACGAGTGCGTTGGAAGGTCTGAACATGAACGGCTACCGTGAGTGCTGCTTCAATTTAAATTATTCTTGCAAACATGGATTGGCATGCTCATTTGTTCCTTGTGCCCATTGCACTTGAAATATGTCTCCGTTGGCCTGCGGACAATTCTGTATGCGATCACCGTACGAATGTCGTTCATCCCGTCTCTGACTCTCATCCTTGTTCTTCCAGCCTACCATTCCGACAACCCATTCCACAAACCTCTGCCGGACCCTCATGCAACACACTCTCGACCTTCTTCAGACATGTCATCCATCGCACCTTCACAATCCGCATCTCAAATTGCCGCGATGACCGACGGCGGCGCGTCCCCGTTCTCTAGCCCTCCGTCCAGTCAGGCGCATGGTTCCGGCATGGCGAGCAGTAGCGGCCGACCTGTCTCCGACGCAGGTGTCCATGAATACTTGCTGCAGATACCCCCAGCGCACTCGATCTCTGACCAGCTGCTTCCTCCGTCGCAAGTGATTCAAGAGGAAGAGGAAGGTGGTGGAAGCAGCGAGGGAGAGAGTGAGGAGAACGGGGGTGCCTTGGAAATGCACGAGAACAAGCCATTTGCTTTCGTAAATAACAATCGCCATTCTACACCTCCACCAGCCTCCAAACCCAAACCCAAACCCTTCGAGGACGAAGTACCAAGACGGAACAGCACTCTACCCTC